TATCGAAGACTGGCTGATTGCTTGATTGACTGAGTTATTGGCTAGCTGACGAAATAATTGGCTGACTATTTGATTGACGAAATGACTGCTTGGGGCCGACAGCCGAAAAAAGAAAAAAGAACATTGATTGATCGACTTATTAATTCTATGCATTTGTACCTGATGTATAATCAAATTGCATATCTCCTGCAATAGTACTGTTATTTTCGCCGACTGACAATAGTAGCGCGAATTGCCCCAAAGCGTGCACACCGTATGCATAAAGGGTATGAGCAGAGGCTTGTACTCTGCAAAATCTATTTCCTCCAGTTGGTGCAGCGGGCGCTTCAATGGGTTCAAATAGAGGGTTATATCCTTTGCCTCGGCAAGTGCTGCGATTGTTCAATAAAAAAAAGGAAAAATTATATGTAGACACTCAACAGCTGGCATGTTTCTGTGCCATTAAATTGCCTGCACTCACCCGTAACCACGTTTTTGAAGAGCGTCTGAAAGCACGGATGATAGGCACTCAACGAATACTCCAGTATTAAGGCCATGGCTCGGATACGCTCATTGCGCAATTGGTCATAGATAAAGGATAGATTCTTGAGGCGATTATTCCAAAATGTAAATTCTGTACAGAAGGCGATAGGAGAAAGACAATACGTGAATAATGCATATTACAACTTGCAAACTACAATTCAATTAATTTAAATGTAGGTAAGGTGCACCAAGAAAAGGCAATTTTAACACAATTAAAGCAAATCTAAGATGGCATAATATAAGTTAGGAACATTATTAAGAAATATTACAACATATTCGTTATTCATTTATATATACAGATATTACAATTTATTTTAAATTAGTAAAAATCGCGTAAAATTTAGGCTGCAAATGATTTTGAGCTGCATTCAACATAAAGTGATGATTCTAACACATAACAAAATCTCCCCCAAAAAAAGGCACCCATTAGAAAATATTATTATTACAAAGGCAAATGTTGCATGTCGCCCCATTCGCAAAACAGATAACAAAAGCAAGTTTTGAAGACATTTTTACCTATATGTCAGGCAGGTTATAAACATGCAACTTTTTGGCCGATGCCGGCACGTTGCTAGGATATATAAAAACAAACGTCAACTGCAAGACTTGAATTTTATCAATAAATATTAAATAAAGCTGTGCCAAAAATAATTCAGATTCAAACATATGCACGTATGACTTGACGCCATACTGAACGGCTCACCCGTGTGCGGTGTGGGATTTTGTCCATTGGCAAAGGCATTCGTTGGACTCTCCTTGATGACCTCGTGTATCTGTGTGGCCCACTTAATGACCACGCCTTCAATAGCACTCTTCAGATACAGGTCGAACTGGCATTGTTGTGTTTCGGTCAGTTCTTTGGCAGCCTTGACTATTTTCTCAACGCCCACGGGCATGGCCAATATGGTTTCGCCACTAACCTGACCCTTGACCTGATGCACAGTGCTCTTCAAACTGTGAACATGCTTCTGTACATCCTGAGCAACCATAATGGGCCAGCTTCTATAGTTGTCCTCATTCGAAAGCAGTGGCACAAGCACCTCCTCGACAAGGGCGGACAGCTGGTCAATTGTACGCGTGGCCAGGTCACCAAAGATGATAAAGTTACCGCAATTCTCACGTGGTATGGGCTTGGCATAGCGCTTGATAAAGTAGACACCTTTGCTCTTCAGCTGCGACAGGGGAAAGGTAGTGGAGGGCACCAGCTGCGCAGCGGGCGTGAGTATGATAATCAGCACGACAGGTATGCTGCGATCCAAAAACTCTTTGATTATGCCCTTATGCTCCTCCACAGTGATGACACGAGTCCATTTCTCTGGCTTCAGCTTAAGCGATTTGATGACAAACGAACCCATCAGTTCCAGACGCGGATCCGGCCCACCGGCTGCAGCGGCTGCCTCGGCGCTGGTGGAGGCCTGCTCCATCGAAGGGCCCGATGGTGTGTTTGTTTGCTGTTGTTAACACAGATATTGTTGTTGCTGTCTGTGGGGATATATGTGTGTTAGTGTTTGAGTGACCTTGTTACCACTAACAACTATATAATCAATATATTTTCTATCAAATCAATATTTCTGGCTTAAATTGTATAATATTTTCTTATATTTGGGCAAAAACTGCAATACAATTTCAATTTTTGCTTATCAAATTTATAGATTATGCAATCCATATTTTCATTTTACAACACTTAAGCATTATTGAAACAGTTATGTAACTTAAACATAAGTAAAACTTGCTATATCTCTGAATTTTCACATCAAAAATAATTTCTAAAATCGTTGTATTACACAAATTAACTTATTTGCAAGCACTTTTCAATTATCTAGGCATTTTTGCTGGTTTTCATAATTATTTCTTAATTTGTCAGTTTTTATTTTTTTTTTCAGCCCTATTTTGCTTCCGCTTTGCGACTGCTCACCTGCGCTTCCGTTAGCTGACTGAAAGGAAGAGTTTGGCAAAAATTTAACAATGTTACGTTAAACTGATCGTGGCAGCACCCGGTTGCTAGGTCGTTGTTTATTTTGCCGCTTGACCTTTGTTGATTTCCCCTCTGCCATAATCCTTGGTTGCTAGCCACGTTGCCAGGCTTCGGGCCAATTGTTGCGCCGCCATTTTAAGCTTTCTTTGCACGCCAAAGTTTTTACGGCTTGGCACGTTGCCTAATAAAGTTGGCCCATGGCAGGAAACTTGGCAATCGATTAGGCGCTAATTCAATTAGCTGCGACTTTATTACAAAGTTGCTAAACTAAAAATAGATGATTTATATTAGAAGTGTAACAACATTATCAACTTACTTTAATTCAAATAAGGATGGGGCATCCTTCTGTCAGCATCCATTCCATATTGCAAGTAATTTTATATTTATGAATTGATTATCGCACAAAATATTTATCCACATCGAAGTGTGCTTTGAAAATGCATAATTAATTTAACAATATAATATAAAAATAACTTAGCAAGTTTACCGTTTCAACGGAAGCGTGAGGAATCGAACTGCGATATATCGATTCTGAGATTGATGCTCGATTCTCATTAAACAGTAATTGAAAGTACTCGTTTATCGTGACACGAAAGTATCAAAGCAGTAATTTGAATAGCTCACGCAGGCAAGCATACATTAAAGCATGTAAATTAAGATTTAAATAATAGTCCTCGCGGATTATCAATATGTAATTTTATTTAGGTAATGATTTTCTAAAACACTAGGCCGATACGCCGTAGTGAGTGAGTTAATTTAAGCGCGAAGTCTCTGGGCCGATATGCCTCAGTGAAAGCCGCATTAAAAACTAAATTTACAAAAGATTGATCAAAAATACCTAAGCTATTGTGTGCTTTCACAACGGCCGCTAGAATGCTTAGCTTGCGCCTCGTGCGCTGCCGTCGTGCAAGAACATCCGGCCCAGAGCTATGTCAGCATCTGCGGCTGGTGTTATGTTGCATTTTGCTGACCCCTGTTAGCTCGTAAGAACATTCGGCTCAGTGCTATATCAGCATGTGGAGCTGGTGTCGTTGACCTCTGTTAACTGCTCCCCTTTTAAGTTAAGGCCGCCCTCGGCGGCTCCTATCTCGGCGATCACCTTCTTAATCTCCTTGGCCGATGCCATGTTTTTGGTGAACCGACGGTAGGTGACTCCGACGTAAATTATGGTGCAACACACAGCACCCAACAAGATGGCTATTACCACGCTGTCGACGCTTCCAATTTCGTCCTTGACTTCCTTGATGATCTCCAGGTTACGTTCATTCAGGCGATGAAGGTAGGGGAGACTCAACACGTCTTGGTGGCCGGTGACGTTCAGAAGGGGAGATGCCGCGATGCCGGGGAACTTACTCTGGAAGTTGTTGCGATTCAAGTACTTAGTTTCGTTGATCAGAGCCCAATTATTGAACGTGATTGGATTCGTTCCGTGAACCCAAGTGATCGGGTCTAAGTGATTCGGCTGCATTTGGCAGTTTGCCAAGCCACCAGCATGCAGCTCTCTGGCACAAGAGCTGGTCGGTGAAAGTTGACAAAAGGTTCCTCCCGACGTGGAAGTGCAATTCTTAAGGGCAAGCACTTGATCCCCGCACTCAGCTATAATGTTGTCGTCAATTGTAGCACAGCATTCTCATGTGCAACTGGATACAGCATAACCTTTCTGCAAGCCATTTTGATTTTCGGGAACTTAATGATAAAGTGAAGGGCATTAACAGATTGTAATACTTTCACGGACGCAACGGACATAAGGTCAAAGGTCATAAGGTCTTATGAAATATCCTATATTAAGTGTTATGTGTTAACTTGTACATACCTCTAAATGAAACTTAAAATCATAATTTAGTTTTTTATTTATGGATGTAGCATATTTATCACTGCAAATATTGGTATATCAATTCAAGTCTAATTGGAGTCGCTTGCTAATTCTTATTGGGCAAGCTGTTAAATGTGCCACAATGTTAGCGAACTGTCAAAGCCTTAGCCACAAAATGCTTAGAATTTTGAGGAAAATAAATTGAAAAATGTGTGGCAGTCACGCCAAAAACTGTTGCTTATGCGCAACAGTTGTGGAGCTCTTTATCTAGTCCCACACCTCCACTCACTTTCCCCTGCAGTAGTTGCCGTTTTTATGGTAAATATTTGGCGCAGGCGCCAGCCATAAACAAAACAAATAACTGTTGCGCCCGAGGCAACATTGTTGCCAAGCCAACGGCAACATTGTTGCTAAACAAACAAGCAACAGTTTCTTGCATGACTTCCGCTTGGAAAACTTTTGCTATTTCTATTTCTATATTTTTACGACTATTGATTGACCTAGGCCCAGGCGCAGCGGGTTGTTCAACTTGCTGGCAAAACCAGTTGCAGTTGGACGTAATAAATATTAAAGGCAAATTAATGTCGATAACCACAAGCTGCGCCAAACTCACTGAAGCTGAAAAGTTAAGCTATTTCGGGCTGCATTTATAAATCTGGCCGGGCATAGCTCTGTTTAGATTTCTGGAAAATGTGGCAGTTGGCATTCGGACTGCTGAGTGTCGCATCCGGCATTGTTGTGGAGCGCAACATGTTCGCCTACTACAAACTGCCGTTGCGTCTGCTCCACGCTAACGAGTCCACTTCCGGTCTGTACTATGTGCTGCAGTGCCCGCCCAAGCTGGACCAGGGCATACCCAAGCCCAGAGACATGCCAACCTGCAGTGTGGTGGATCAGTACAGGCACGAGACCAGACCCAAATCCAGGAAGTTGCAGCCTGCTGGCACCATGCTCCAGCCTCTGCCCCCAACAACTGTTAAACGCTCGCGTTGGGGCTGGCGCCAGCGTCGCAGCAAGCGACATAACCAGGACCAGGATAAGGCAACAGCGCTGCAGCATCTCGGCCAGCCGCATCGACGGCAAACCCTGCTCAAGCTGGCCGCCGATTATCGGAATTTCAGGCGCGGCAACAGCTCCAAGGGCTACCAGCACATGTATCACCGCGATGAGAGCTACAACGATCACATCTTCTACGATGAGCTTCAATTGGATGGCAAATTCCACAAGCAGGGCCAAGGAAAGACTGCGAACTGAAGGAATAGACGTCCAGTGGACAATCTGAATACCAATAACAAATTCTTAAGGTACTCAAATGGATTTGAATAAATCCCTAAATTTTATCTGTAGGTAATTGGAAGATTTTATTGTAATTTCCAAAATATAAGTAAATCCGAAACCTCAGTTATGCCCGTTTGAATATTTTTTTTAATATATTTGATTTAATATATTTTAAAATATATTATTTAAGAATAATAAAAAAAGGAGAAAGAAAGGCTATCATCGGCACGCCGAAGATCTAATACCCTTGCAGACCCAACCTTTTCATAATGCTTATAGTGCTTTGCCCGTATCTAAGAAGCACAGAGAAAATAGTTAATGCCGAGTTTGGGCAAGATATCTTGATAAACAAAATGTTTTTTCATACAAAAACTTAATTTTCGACCGATCGTTCCTATGGCAGCTATATGATATAGTGGTCCGATCTTAATAGGATTTTGCATATATATGAGGACCTTAGTAAAACTAATAATTGCCGAGTTTGGTCAAGATATCTTGGTAAGCAAAATGTTTTTTCATACAAAAACTTAATTTTCGACCGATCGTTCCTATGGCAGCTATATGATATAGTGGTCTGATTCAGCTGGTTTTCACATATGTGCTGCGTGCAACAGAAAGACAGACTTCTGCAAAATTTCATTAATATAGCTTTAATGGCTATATCGACTCGGGTGTTGATGCTGATCAAGAATATATATACTTTATGGGGTCGAAGATGTCTCCTTCTATGCGTTACACAGTTCACGACAAAATTATAATACCCTCTGCAAGGGTATAATAAAAACAATACAAAATAAAATCTATACATTGAAGATTCGTGTATTATATTCGTAACGCACAGACAGAAAAACGATCCATGTAGAATACCAATATACTCTTTTTTACTTTCCGAACAGAGTACAAAAATGGCTTTCTCTGTCGACAAGGTACCAAGTGCTCCGCCATAAACCGGTAAGAAAAGTTGCACAAACCTTCACAACAAAATGTTAATACTAAATTAATATATATATATACAAATTGTATGCAATTATTTGTTCATTCGTTTTCGCCAACGTCTGGCAAAAACATATCGTCATAGGCCACATTTTCAAAGACCTTATTCAGCATGCCCGTAAAGCATTGGGCAAAGGATTTCATTAGCCCAGGTTCAAGGCCGTTCCAGAACTCCAACCAATTTTCGTTGAAGGCCCGATTGACCGCAATCGTAAGATCCGTATTTTCCCTATATAAGTTATCAAACCAAACTATCCAGCTGAAAAGAAAATTTGATATTTTCAAATCGTATTGTGGCTTGGGCAATCGATCTCACCGATCCAGCTCAACTTTTGGCTTTAGTTCGTAGATCTTCAAATAGCGTTTGTTGTTCCGATATTCCAGTACACCCTTTATGGTCAGTTTCAAATGAACATTCTGAAAATCGGATTTCAATTTGCCCGTCGTATTCGCCACAAACAACAGATAGCGACCCAGCATATCGTAGGTTGCCTCGTGGATGACACTGGGTATGTGCGCCTCAATGATCATTATGTTTTTGGTTGGATCTCGACTGAAGCCGTCCACATGGGTAATGGTGGCATTATTGAAGCCCCTATTGACATTGTCGCGCGTGTAAAAGGTTAACCAAACAGCACCAACAGTGGGCTTGTCCAGAATCGCGACATCCTCCAGCCGGGTGAAGTCTAGCGGAGGCAGCCCAATCTCCGGTATGCCCTTGGGATAACGCTTGATCAGGTCATTAATGCTGCCTATAAGACATTTCGAGTCCCCAAAATGGCATTTCTTGATGTCCTCAGCTGCCAAAAAAATATATTTTGTATATGTATATTGTTCGAATCCTAACTGGAATACTCACGCAGCTGGGCACCCAATGCCGTCTCGTATAGCGTATGCAATACGATAATTAACATATAATACTTGCACATCTTGTGTATTGAGATTTTATTATTATTGTTATTTTAAACCAGTTGCAATTAATTGAAGTCACGACACGATGTCACTTAGAACCTGCTTTAGCCGAAGCTAAGCTGTAAATAACATCAATAGATTAGCTTTGTTTAAGTTTACAGCAAGTGCTTGTGAGCTATATTCAAAACCGGATTGCTGGTCGTACATACGGATATCAATACTACAAGAAATATACTCTTCCTGTTATAAATATACTGTTAGTTAAAGAAAATAGACAATCTGATTTATGGCTTAATAATTTATTTCAGTCTCATTGTCCTTGAGGAACATATCGTCATAGGAAATTTTTTGAAAAATATCTTCAATCATGCCTGTGAATACACTGCTAAAAACGCTCAGAAACGCCGGTTCCAGTTCATTCCAGAATTCCAACCAGTTCGCGTTGAGCACTTCGTTTAACGTTATGGTTAGATCCATGTTGTCGGGAAACAAGGTATCCAGCCAGACAATCCAGCTGCCGATCGATATAATTATCATATACTACTTGTATATATATATATAGTATATCGCAGACTCACCGACTGATGTTCACGATCGGAACTAGTTCGTAGATTTTCAGGTAGCGCTTGTTATTCCGATATTCCGGTATGACTTTCAGTTTTAATACAAACCGTAAGTTCTGAAAATCCGATGTGGACTCGCCCGTAGCATTCAGTGCGATCAGCCAAACACGTCCATTGGCTATATAGCTACCCTTGTGTATGAGACTTGGTATCTGGCCGTGAATTTCCATGGTGCTGGCCGTGGGGTCCCTACCAAAACCCTTGATGCGCGTTATTGTTGCATTCTCGAAGCCATAGTTCACTTGATTGAAGAGCTTAAACTTAAACCAAACCCCGCCAACTTCGGCATTATTCCAAATTTCCGAATCCTTAATATCCACATTATCGATGGGCTTCATGCCCATGGCGGCCAAGCCTCGAGGATAACGTTTGATCACCGCATTCATGGATTCAATTATGCATTTCGAATCGCCGAAACGGCATTTATTAATAAAGTGCGCTGGGAAGAGGAAGAGGAAGGAATCGAAAAACAAAACAAAAAACAACTATAAATTGATTTAGGCTATAGGAACACACATTTTATTTAGACTACCCACGTAATGTTTGACACTTGCACGTGATAAACAATTGCAGAATGATTGAGACGACAAATACAATACGCATATTTCGGTTTACTTGGATATGCACCATATGTTGGAGGAGAATGCACTTGTATTGGCCTCAGAGGTCGGACATTGAATAAAATCGAATGCCTATTTCTATAGAATTTTCAAAAGGCCAGCAAATCAAATTGGAATTCGCATAGTTTTATAAACCGGTTTCTCGATTCCATCAACATGGGCTTTACTCGGTTCCGCACAGAACGTATATTAATTTAACTATTTATACAATTAGTGGGGTGTACGAAATGTATACTGTATGGACATGGTACATTTACAAATATGCTGAATTTCAATATGCCATTTTATATTATATGCAAAAGTTCTTTAGGTTTTCACAATTTTCATGACGCTAACAATTCAGCATATCTATAATATTTGGCATAGCTGAGAAATCAATCCAAGCGAGTTTGACTTGTTTTTAATTCAATTATCATTATTTTTATACTTATTCGAGAGAAACATGTCATCGTATGAAACATTATGAAATATATCCTCGATAATGCTCAGGAATACACCTGTGAATACTTCCAATATGGGCTTTTCGAGCTCATTCCAAAACTCAACCCAATTTGCATTGAATATTTTATTAATAAATATTGTCAAATCGGTATTTTCTGGAAAAAAATTCTCCAGCCATTGTATCCAGCTGCAAGTCGATAAAATGTCTGATAATGTTTTCAATTAAAACTGACCTGAATTTTAGAACTCACCGATCCACAGAAATATTCGGCACCAGCTGATAGATCTTTAGATATCGCTTATTATTACGATATTCCGTTTGCACTTTCAGCGTGAAATCGAAATGAAAATTCAAGAATTCCGATTCAGAGACGCCGGATGAATTAATATTAATCAGCCAGAGTAAACGGCCCCGCGCATTATATGTGCCTCTGTATATAAGCCTAGGCAGATGGCCCTTAACTTCGATTTTCGTTAAGCTGGGATCTTCGTCGAAGCCCCTGATTTCCGTAATAGTTGTGTTCTCGAAACCATAATTGATCTGATTGAGCAGCTCGAAAAAATACCAGGTGACGCCCACCTGTCTATCATTGATGAGCACCGTATCCTTGACATCGACGACATCAATCGGCTTGAAGCCCACCGAGGGTATGCCCTTGGGAAAGCTGCGTATCAGAGCATTTGCCGTGTCCCTAATGCAGGTTGTATCTCCAAAATGGCACTTCTTGATATTCTTAGCTGCGATAAAATAAAGAGAATATAGAGAACTATCCGACAGTGCGACTCTTCTTTAACTACCCACGTAATGTTGAGCACTCGGAACCGATATAAAGCTGCAGGCACATCGACAATATCAAAAGTTTCCACATTGTAAACAAATCCAAGCACTTGCATAGTCCCAGACAGTCCGCGTTCAAGTAAATCCCAACTAAAGTATCAATATGAGTTGAACAGAAATATATCGATTATCATAACTAGTTTGTCGTAATCCACCATATTAAACTAATTAAACCAGGTCTAGCACCAACTATCATGGTGGGTTCTCGAGAAGCTTTGCAATTGAACACAACTTTAATATGGCTGGCCAGTCGTAAAAGATAATAATAACTATTAATGTTGGCATAGGGCAGCTTTTATTTTTAGCACAATAAACAATTCCCAATTACTGCAAAGATAAATGGGAAAGATATTCAATATTCAATTCATATTCGAATTTATCTTTGATCTTTTATCGGATAACTTGGATTATTTTTAAAATTATTTTTATCGGATATTTATATTTATTTTTATACCCTTGCAGAGGGTATTATAATTTTGTCGTGAAATGTGTAACGCATAGAAGGAAACATCTCTGACCCTATAAAGTATATATATTCTTGATCAGCCTCAACAGCCGAGTCGATATAGCCATGTCCGTCTGTCCGTCTGTCCGTTTGTCTGTTTCTATGCGAACTAGTCTCTCAGTTTTAAAGCTATCTTAATGAAATTTTGCAGAAGTCCCTCTTTCTGTTGCACGCAGCACATATGTGAAAACCAGCTGGGTCGGACCATTATATCATATAGTTGCCATAGGAACGATCGGTCGAAAATTAAGTTTTTGTATGAAAAAACATTTTGTTTATCAAGATATCTTGACCAAGCTCGGCATTTATTAGTTTTACTTTACTTCTCATATATATGCAAAATCCTATTAAGATCGGACCACTATATCATATAGCTGCCATAGGATCGATCGGTCGAAAATTAAGTTTTTGTATGAAAAAACATTTTGTTTTTCAAGATATATTGCCCAAACTCGGCATTAACTATTTTCCCTGTGCTTCTTAGATACGGGCAAAGCACTATAAGCATTATGAAAAGGTTGGGTCTGCAAGGGTATTAGATCTTCGGCGTGCCGAAGATAGCCTTTCTTTACGAAATCTCTTCATATTATAGGCTAAGGTTAGAAGAGCCCGAAAGCACATTAAGGTGGCTCCAATCCAAACTTGGAGACGTTAATTAGACGCCCCCTAGTTCACATTTCAGCATTCCGTAGGGCCCTATAAAAATTTCTGGATATTTACAGTCTATGTCTAGGAACTCGGAGGAAAGATTATCACATTTGTATATGGGGACAAATTGTAAAGTTTCTAACAAGGGAAACTTATAGTTATTTATTCATTTGTTTTTAAATTAATAGTTAAGATTGTAGGCTATACTATATACATTATAGCAATATGAGGAAAAACTTAAAGAAAAACATGATCTGTAAGTAGCTTGTAAGTTACGTTAGGTTAGGGGAAGAAAATACATATTGCTCTTAAGGCAATATGGAGTTAAAATTAGTTATAAGTGTATGAAGAGTATTTGTATTTCTGTTTAGATTGTTAAGGATATGAATAAAAGATATTAGATATCATGTGCTCACAGGTATATGAGAAAATAATTTAAAAAAAAAGTTAATTTTAAAAAGTTTAATATTGAGTTACGTTCGGTTCGGGAATAGATAAAAGATATTAGATCATTTATACGGGAGAAAAATAAGAATAATAATAGTATTTTTTTTTTGAGTCTCTTAATTATTTATCATTCAACTATTAGACTTGCTTATAGAAATCATCGTAGGGCAACTTGTCTAACACACGACTAATAATTGTCTGCGCCACCTGGTTAACAGCCGAGTTGACACCTTTGCGCATGGTATTCCACACATCCTGCCAGTTGTTGTTAATAAGCATGTTCATGGAGTCGCTTAGCTCCTGGTTGTCAAGCAGCTTGTCAAAGTTGACATGCAGGCTGTTTAACAATGTAATATTTAGGAATTATTTTCTGCTAATATCAGCACCTTTTAGCTTACCCCTTTATATTCACCAGACACTTGATCTTGTTGATCTTTGCATAAAGTTTCCCATCAGCTGTTCGCTGATCCTCAACTGCCTTGGCCCTGCACGTGAATTGACAACCGCTCAGTTCCACCTGCGCCTCACCCTTGCCCTGTATGGGCAACATCAACAGCTTGCCCTCCGCCTCATAGAGCCCACCCAGGCGCAACAGAGGCGTCCATCCGGCCAGCTCGAAGCCATGTCGCAACACCTTCTCGAATCCTTTGGCATGCTGGATTGTCGTGTTCTCAAAACCACACACCCTCAATGTATTGAATTTCAAGCTCAATTGCATGGGCGTATTGGGCGTGGCCTCGCTGACGACTACATCTTGAAAGTCTATGGCATCCAGGGCATCCAGTCCAATGACAGGTAGGCCCTTGGGATACTTTTGCACAATGTGATTGATGGTTTCCACAATGCAGTTCGCATCGCCGCCAGCGCATTTCTCAATCTCTGGTGCTGAAAATTCGAATATTCATTTCTTTTTCATAAAACTAAAAGTCAAAAAAAATAAAACTAGAAATTCTTGTATGCAAATCCTAAATACCTATATAAAGAGTATGTTTCTTTAGAGACAACTAAATTTTAATTTTAATTTTAATAAAATAAATGAATTGACATATATCTAAGTAGTATGTTATATCAGTTTATAATTGAGTTAATGAGAAGGAAAAAGGCTCTGCCTCTGATAAATTTTGAAACTTGTGAATATCACTGTGCATTTTTATACCCTGAACCCATTAAAAGTGGATAAAAAGGGTATAATGTAACTGTGAAAATGTATGTAAGAGGCAGAAGGAAGCTTCTCCGACCCCATAAAGTATATTATTGATCAGCATCAATAGCTGATTCGATCTAGCCATGTCCGTCTGTCTGTCGGTCCGTCCGTCCGTCTGTCCGTACGCATCAACGCAAGGATATCAGAACCTATAAGAGCTAGAGACTTGAAATTAGCTGTAGGTCCTCCGAGTGCCTGCGCAGATTGAGTTTGTTTCCGATATTCGATAACTTGCCCCGTTTCCAAACAATCGATAAAAATCGATATCGACATCCTGTTTTTTGAGCAAATTGAGTAAAAATTAAGAGAGTCGCCAAACTTGATATGTTGCTTCTAGAATATTATATATCTATCAGTATCTTTCATTTTATACCTATCGCCTCCCCTCACCTCCCCGCTACCACCGCAGAGCTATAAATCAAGTTAATAACCCAACTTATATTGTCCACCAATTTAAGCCACAACTCTAATGCAATTTACCTTTTGAGAATGCACAATATTCTATGGTACAGTAAGATATACTTTAGAAAATATCATTAAGATCGGTTAAGAAAAACCCAAAAGTTATGCGTTACACACACACACATTCATGCGCGTCTGCTTCGAATTCTATCAACAGCATTGCAACTGCGATTGTTTTCTGTGCTGCTTTTTAATTCGTTTTTTTCTCAATAATAATCAATTATTGGTGTGGCTGTTGATTAGAGGCATAGCAAATGGTGCGGTCTTTCGCGAGTTCGAGCCCTACCGGGGAAACTATTTTTTTTTTTTTGGCTGGTGTGGCTGGTAATTAGAGTCGTCAGCAAGTAATGCGGTCAGCTGCAAAAATTGATCTTGCATTTCTATATGACAATTTCCCTCTGCGATTAGCTTGTCAGATTTAAAAAAAATCCTCCAGAGAAACCCCTCTATAAATTTATATTATTTGAGTTCAGAAAAGAGTCTATACTTCTTTCTATAAATTAAAGTACAAATTTTAAAAACTTAGATCTTTTAGTATCAATTTTATTCACAATTTTATATTCTCAGTACTTCACTTACGTAGTTCGCCGCTGACAAAAAACCCGTTTAGCAGGAGCAATGTTAGGGTATACCACATTTTGGACATCCTTCTAGCTCCCGTTGACTTTTTAAGCGCCTTTCCGAAATGAACCCAAGCAATGACTGGCTCGTCGCTTTTATAATCCAATTACCCGATACGGAATTCGGAAGCTACACTTAAATGTTGTAAAAGCATTGAATTATACTGCCACCTACACTGTAATTAACACTTCACGCTTTTGTTTGATTGATTCGTTTGGGTAGCAAATGCCTCATTAGTTGTGCAGGTATTTAATTTCCCTTTCATTTAGACGTCATTCATTTAAATATCAATTACATCTACTTAAAAAGACGTGACAGAAAAGGTGCGCTTCATCAGGGGTTAATAGAGAGCTACTGGGGGATTGCTCAACTAGCGTATACCCTACAATTCTTTTTATATTAGTTAAGCAATCTACTTTAACTGCCTTTACCAGTTACCCACATTTTGACTAGTTAATCAAGCCCATTTACACTTATATTTTAGGCACAGGCTAGTATGCAAATCGAACTTAAGTTTTCTCCGCTAAATACAAAACACACATATCATTTGTACTTATGCATATTATTATTATATTTTATTTTAAATGTAATACACAACAATAAAAAACAATTTAATGTGGATAGCAAAGAGAAATATTGCAAATAAGTTTTTGACTTATTTATTACTGTGCTTTTGAATAAAATAATTTAAATGATACATTAAAAAAAACGCGTGCTCTAAAGTTAAAAAACATAAACTATTTTCGATTGATTTTCTTTTAGGAAATATTTTTGAAAAACACACGTTCTTAATATTTAAACATTTTGGATTTAAAAAATTGTTTACGATTTCTCAGTTCACAGCCTTATAAAAAATATATATATATGTTTAGTTAAAATATATGTGTGTGTGCATCAAATTATTATTATTATCAATTACAGTACAGTGAACTAATGTCTACTTTCGATGCCACATGTTTATTTTTTATCCCAGGCATTTTGCAGTTATGCTTATGGTATGATATATTACGAAATTTTTTCCTATGAATTTCCTTTTTTTCGATTTTTTGGTATACTTCGTTTATCATGGTAAAATAAATATGCTATGAACATTTATTACACTAATTCCCAAGTATTCGGCCTGAAAAGAGAGAGCGACAATTTGCCAAACAAAACCAGGGCCAGATTTGTGATGCGATGAACTAAGTGATGAGACATGGCCTTCGGATAGGGTGACAACTCTGTGCTCTTTGCGTAACGGTTTGTTAGAACAGACTGGAACCGAATGCTAGCTGATGACCACATGGCCATTGGCATTGTCCACATTGCTACTGTGGCAACTCAGCTCGTTGTTGTTGCTGCTAAAACAAACCTCCTCACTGCCATCGGAATCAGTGCAGAACAGTAATGGCTACGCATCCTCACCATCCATGATATCTGCGTCGGTGTCGGCATTGGTGGCAATTCTGCAAACGAAACATATTATGAAATTGATGAATGAGTCAATGTAGGTGTGTGTGTGCGAGCATGTGTGGGTGTGTATGCGTAAAATGAGGCACAGCTGGGTCTAATCGAAAGAACTCTAATACAAAATAGTGGCCCAACAAACACTGATCGTAACTCAGGAATTTCTTGAAGTAACAAAGACTATAAAGGGTTTTTAGAGAGTAGAAAATCCACAGCCGCAGCATAATAATGAATATTATAATAACTACGCTACGCAAAGAACTTTGTACTGATTAAACATAGTATAGGACTATCTAAAAGAATTCCGTGTTAGTAGGAAATCAACATCATAGAAATAAGAAATAAGTTTAATATACAACATTTCTATAGTTTAAACACATTAACAAATAGGCATTAAAGTAAAAGACAACTCAGAAAGAAACATCTATCACAGCGGTGACCACAAATATATGTTTATCTTTATTGTGAGTGGGGTAAGTCTAAACAGGTGTTTTAGGTCATTTATTTACTAATATACATATGTACAAAAAAGTTGAGCTACGTATAAAAACACAATTTTTGAGTAATGTACGTAAACTTATTATAAATACTTAACAGTCTAAAGAACTGAGCTATAATCAAATTAACCAAGCTTTTACTTAAAGAAGAGCACAAGCTATTCCTTACATCACTTTTAGCCAAATATACGAAATACAATCATTTTATTATATACAATCAACATTAACATAACCATAAGCATTAAGAGGCGACATTTCTTTGTAGATTATTAAAAGAGTTTATCGAGATTCCATTATCGTTAAGCGTCAGCTCGCTATAGAGGGTGGTATCCACATGTGGTTGGGTTGTTTGTTGGTTCGTTGTTTTTGTTGCCACCATTAAATGGATAAACAAATTTGGCGGCACGTGCAGCAGCCCATTTGCGAGGTTTAAATAAACAATTAAAATCCGCATTGAATTTTTTGTTAAATTAATATTTGTTTTTACTTTTAGAAATGTGTTAAGCTGTCGGAACGCTAATTAATTTTGTTTAATGTTTTTCCAAACATTTTTTTTTCAATATTTTTATTATTGTTTTTTTAAAGTCTATTGTTGCTTGCCAATTGCAAACTTTTTTTAGATCAGATTTGACCCAATGCCAAGAAAATCATTTATTAATTTAAAACATTATTTTTGCATTTTTTTTTTTTTTTGTTCAATTAGCCAGTAATTACAAATCAATCAATTCAATACACGTGTGGTTTTATTTTTATTATTTTTTTTTTTGCAGTCAGCGTCAGAAATAGTAGAGTAGAGTGGTGTACAGTATAAGAGTGGAACGTGTGTCGATGTATTTAGTATAATATACACAGAACAGTGTTGGGAAACAAATGTTGGTAGTCACGCAAACACATATAATAGAAGAGAATTTTGTGATACAAAATATAAATAGTAACAAAATTTGCAACACATTTTTTGTTGTTGAGTTTTTATTTTTGGATGAATGCAATGGATGACCGTTTTACCAAAATACCAGAAATTATCCAATAGATGTATAACCTGTACTTAGAGGTATTAAAGCTTTATATACTTAGTATATAGTTCGGTCCAGCTTCCTTCATCAACATTCGGAAATCCATTAAGTTCCATACAATGGCTCCGCGACAGCTCCAATTCAGTACTTAGGAACTAGCTTATACTTATAATAAATCAAAGGCAAGACCACTTTTCCCAGAATATACTAATAAATGCGTACTTTATTTATCAAAACTAAGCACTCTAGCTTATATGAATATAGCATGATAATTGCCATTGTGCGAGCATTATAGGTCCACAATACCAACAATATTATGACTTACCAAAAACTTATAAATACCTTTAATAGATATGAACAGCAATTGCCTAAGACAACTTAAATTCTTATTGATGAATTGTTAGTGTTGTAAGGCATGTGATTTAAGTGTTAATATCACAAATGAAATAAAGTTGGTTAACTGAACTGTAGAAATAATTATTGATCTACTTTTTCCGAAACAGTATCGAGAGGTTTGTCAGTAGTATTAGTTTTATCGCCTACAACTAAGGTAACATCACTGTGAATAATTAAAAGAAGAAGAGCATAGGCATATATATTCAATTAAGTGTTAGTCAATAAGTGTTAGAGAGAAAAGTAACCGAAAAGTGGAGCAAAGGATTAGTAGATATAATAAGACAGTAGACAGCATTAGGAGTGCTGCGAAAGTAGAAAAACCAATTGACATTAGGATAGTACAGACTAGAGATACATTTTTCAGATTAGTTACCCATATAAAGACGTAGGCAATTGTGCATGTATGTGTATGTGTGTTTTGGTGTGTGCAAGAATATTATTATGAGTACTATATTATGCATTAACATACCTGGCATACGTTGAGTTGGCATTCTTTATCGAAAAACTATTCTGGCTTGGTAACACAAAACGTTGCACCCACTGTAAATAGGAAAAAACATTCGTTAGATGAAGTTGTCTTCGATATATATGACATCTAAAGCTCTATAAAGTGCTTGCGAGCAGTCACGTAAATTGATAAACTTGAGCATGATAACTATTGCCGCCGCATACAATTTATGATTGACTGGTTAAATAGTTAATGCTTTTAGTCACGAATTTTGATAAGTGTTTGCTGATTTTCAATATAACTTACCCGACTGTTCATCAGACGCTTGTTGCCCATGCAGGCGGCCATATGTATCACAAGATATATAACGAATAGAATATATAATACAGCAAATATGCCTACATAAAGAGAGAAGCATTAGTCACTCAAGTAAATAAAGGGGAATATTATAGACTCACAGACTAGTGCCAGCATGCCGCCTTCAATTTGCAGCGTTTCCACTTGCGCCACCACAAAATACAAATTAACGCCAATTACCACAATGGTTAGCAAAATGGAAACAATTTTGTTTCCGCTGCAAAAAAAAACAATATGATGAAAAATGTAATCTTATGATAAATTCGAGATATTCAATCTCTACTCACATTCCATTCACAAATTCGCCCATTATGGCCGCGCACGATGTAAACGCTATTGTGGGTATCGCTGCAAATGGCAGCTGCAGCGACATGACCGCATTAAGTATATCATTCATATTGGTTAGATCCTCCATTTTACTGAACATGGCCAGGCAGAAGGTGGGTATTATGGCAATGCAGCGCGTGACCAGCACGCGACACCAGCGCGGCCATTGCAGATTGAGGAAACCCTCCATGGAGAACTGGCCTGCATAGGTGCCCGTCATGGTGGAGCTCTGGCCGGCAGCCAAAATGCCGACACCCCAAATGTACATGGCCGCGGCACCAAATGTGCAACCCAGAAACAGTCCGCCCTTGTACAGGTCCGCATTGATAATGTCCGTCAGATTGTGATTGTCCGTAAACGACAGCTTGGCATCCTCGTACATGGACTTGTTGGCACACACATCCAGCTGAAAGGTTGAAAGTTAGCCAACTGCTGAAAACATATGCTGCTACAGTTCACTCACCACATCCCGATTGGTCTTGCCATACATGCCATGCGCGAAGACCGCCACAACAAAGAGATTGATGATAAAGGAGACAAACAACGCTACGGAGGCCTCAATAAAGAAATAGAAATTCGCTTCGCTCACTTTCTTTGGCTGGCGACGATCCACGTCGCGTGACTGTAAAGCAAATAGAAAGAATTACTTAAGGATTCACTTTATGTTTTATCCAACTCATACCTTGACCAAAGCAGAGTGCAAATAGAGATTGTGTGGCATGATAACGGCACCCACCACGCCCACTGCCTGCAGCAGCACATCCGAATTGCAATCGGTGCACCAAGGCACAAACATGCCTTCCATCACATCAGCTTGATTAGGCGCGGAGACAATATACTGGAAATATAAAATTAATATTTAACAACAACAAGTTTGAGGATCAAAGGACAATCAGGAAGAGAGATCTGATTACGTTAGTATTGTGGGCATTACTAAAATTCATGAGAATCAATTAGAAAGGCTATCTGCTTTGTGGGACATATTGTAATGTAGCTTTTGATGATTTATATATTTTTTATGGTTAAGCTGCCGTTCGTTGAGAAAACCAATAATAATAAACGTTCACAATAAATACAATATATAATATAGAATCATATTTTTAAGTCAGCTTATGAACTATATCACCATCTTAAGAACTTGTTGTCTTTATCCAAAATAAAATTTTAAAAAATGCAGCAGTCAACAAAAAATTATTGCTTAAGCAAATCTCTACAACAACAAGAAAATTCCCTAGCCTGATTTTTTTTTTTTGCGTATGACTTTCTGATAAGGCCTTAAGCAATAATCCCGTACTTATCACATAAAGTTATAGTCCATTTCCGGCACATTCATACCCACATAATCAAATATAAATAGTTGTCATTTCTCAAAAGAAACTACTCTCTAAAGTCATTTATCTAATCATTTAACGCCCAGACGGTCCAGTCACATATGTTGAAAAACAACTGCTTACAGCGCAAACACAGCCTGTCTCTAAACAGATATATAAATAGTTTACTTATAACCAAGTAGCGGAACGAAATGGAAACAAGTAAGAGGTTCTAGTTGGGAGCTCCCGACTTGGGGATACCCTGAACCCTCTTCTTCCAACATCAAATGTCAAGTTTGGTGACTCTAGCTCTTATTATTTACCAAAATTGCCCATTAAACAGGATATCGATATCGATTTTTATCGATTGCTTGGAAACGCAGAAAGTTATCGATTATCGGCAACGAACGGACGGACGGACAGACAGACGGACATGGCTAGATCGACTCGGCTATTGATGCTGATCAAGAATATATATACTTCCTTCTGCCTATTACATACATTTGGATTTTGCACAAATACAATATACCCCTATACCCATTTTTAATGGGTTCAGGGTATAAAAAATGAGAAAATGTGTACCAGGAACGGCAATGGCAATGGGAATCGGAATGGGACGAGCTCTGCTACTGCCGTAATTGAAAGATATAAACACAAAGTACGCCCCTGACAGACGTGCACGACAATTGACGAGTGCAATTTAGCGACAATAGACACAAAAAAAGGCCATTAAAATGTATTCACATTATTGAGTAAAAAATTTTAACAACTGGAGCGCTGTGTCTAAACACTTAGTATACTTTTTGGATGCCTGACTGACAATTAATTTAGGAGCCTCTTATCAGGGGGATCTTTTTCGGGGTGATCACCCGAAACGGGAATGTTTTTATTATTGTTTTGTTTGCAGAAGCGCTAGCTTACCTCATAGCCAAATGTGATAGCCATGACCGTGATGAGGAAACCAAATAGGAACTCCAGCTTACGCAAACCATACTTATCCAGAAATAGGAACGTAAATGTATCAACAATCGTGATGAGAACGCCACCCCATAAAGGCACACTGCAAGAGAAGAAGAGATTAACGAATAATTTATCAAGTATACAGCTATAAGAACTCACACTTTATTGGATAGCAGATATATGGCAATGGCTGTGCCTATGACCTCCTGCATGTCCGAGCCAATGATGGCAATCTCTATCATGATCCAGAGTATCCAACGTGGCAAACGCTTGTACTGTCTATAGCACATCTCCGCCAGATGCAGGCCAGTGACAACGCCCAGCCTTAAGATAGTTATACCATAATTTAAATACATATCAAGTATTAAGTTTATATATGTGACACACTTACCTTGCAGCCAAGCGTTGCATAAGCAGGCCCAATATTGTGGCCCATAACAGTACCCAGAGTATTTTATATTTAGCTGCGGCACCCGATTGCAGGTCGGATTCAATATTGCCCGGATCTAGATATGCAATGGACATGAGAAAACCGGGGCCCGTGAAGGCCCACAGCTTGCGAAAACTGAAACCGATCTGTGTGCGAACGGAGATGAGTTAATATGTAAAAGTAAGACGAACTGCTCGACAAGCAGATACCCTGTACCCAGGGGGGAGGTAAACGTGTTAAAAAAATAACACATTCTTGCTTTTTATTTAATATTCAAGTACCTTTATATCAAATTTGGTCGCTCTAGCTTTTATAATATTACAGTTATGCACAAAAATAGAGGGCACAAATCGATATTTATCGATATCATTGAAATATGGGAATTTATCGATACGCGCATAATGTAGGATAGCCTTTAGTATAAATTTTAAGTGACAATCGGCCAGTTCATATAGCTCAAAATGCTAGATCTAAGGTTTTTCTTGGGTACAGGGCTTGCAATTAGGATTTAGATACCTATATTTGAACTTACATTGGTCCGATCATCGTCTGGTATGAGCACCTTCTCGTCACTGAAATAGGCCTGTTTCGAAGGCTTCAGATATGTGTTCTCACTGAGCATCTGCTGATGCAACTGGGCACTATGTGCTGCGGCAGCGGCATTTCCATTGCTGCCACGCGTGCTGCTGGAGCCCGAGGCCTGATCGTCGCCAGCGGACGCGGCGCCGGGCTCTATTCTGTTGTGATAGCCCTCGTTTAGAGACATGCTGTAAGTGTGTTAACGACACGATAATTAATATATTAATTTAAATTAATTTAACACCTGTGTGTGACAAACAGTTCAATTTCGGCTCGCAATCGGGCAGAAAATTGGGAAATGCGTCCAACTAAAATAACCTTTTTTTGTATTTATATTTACAACTTTGCACGTAATGCCTTCGCAGATAGTTATCATAATATGTATATGTATGTACTTAAATGTATCTATAATATACATAAATGCCGCACATGTTGTCTGACTTTTTTTAGCACAGGCCACAAAAAAACTTTGCCTAATTTAATGGTTTAGCTGGCCTTTCCATATAATTCGCACATCATCGCGATAGATTGAAATTCTATTGTGGAACGGAATTATCAAAATCTGAACAACAAACAAATATAAAATTAATAAAAGCCATCATTTCGTTATTATCTGCATTACGAACACATGCCACAAATAACAATTATTATGAGCTAACAGAAATAAGTAATAGCTAGGCACAAAACAGAAAATTAAAACTGTTTTAGTCTGGACCTGACGACTTGTGGATGCCCTGTTTACTTATGTTACGCTCTAATAATCTATGCTTGTGCTCTAATCAGCTTGGTTAAAATATATATATAAATTAATTTTTAAAAAATGTATTTCAATTCTAGTTTGTAGTCAAAGATGCCCCGTAGAACTATAGTATACCCTATTGTGCCTTTCAAAGCCTACAGGGTATAGAAATTCGAATGAGCTGGCATCCATAACAACTTGCCGCAAAAAAATGAAATAACAAAACAAACAAAATAATATTTCCCGGAACACTAACTAAATATCTGGCGTGCAAGTACTTTGTCAACAGACGCTGAATTGCCGTGGATTGATAAGACTTAATATAACTCTACTGGTTGTTTGTTAGAATAATATATATTATTATATAGTATTTGGTATATTTTCTACAATACATTGACTCTGCTTACGCAGGCTTTCCCCGAGTCTTAATCAATGCGATAATCTGAGTAAGAATTGATTTGATTTTAATAAATAATTGAATCTATGTTTTTAAATCTATTATTTATTAAACCAAATGAATAGTAAAGTTCCTGGGCTGAATTGAAAAGAAGTTTAAATCGAGGTATGCCTATACGAAAACGAAGTGTTTTTTTTTTCGCATAATATAAGCTGCATTTGATTATAAAATAAAAGTATAATTATAAATTGATAGGAATGCCGAGCACAATCAGGAGATGAATTCGATAATTATTTTTATTGTTCTAAAAAAGGAATTGTTTATAAACAAGAGCCAATAAATAAATAACAGAATGAGTGAAATGCTGTTTTGGTGTCTTCCGCTCATTTGTACAGCTGTGCTTGAGACTATATAAGCAATTTTCGCATAAACAATAATAAAAGAAAATAAAACATATGAACAAGTTAATAGCGAATTTCGAGCACATCATTTAAGCTGTTGCACAAGTGCACAGGTGAATAACCTGATGAAAATGCAAACATATTATATTTTTTAAATCTGATTTGTTTTTATTTCTCTTTTACTTTATTTTAATGCTTTGCGATTTTTATGCTGATTTGCCCTGCGACTTTAACACAAACGCGTCTCATCAAGCAGAGCTCTGCACATCTTGTATATATATATATATATATATATATATATATGCATATATGTGTATAAGTAGGTGCCTTGGGCATGTATGGAGCTGGTTGGAAATACCCGACGTCTGGTTCACCTTGACAAAGCGTTGCGCTGCTTTCCACATCGCTTCATCGAGTCGCTGTGGAGCTCGGGCTATACGAATCGTCTAATTATGTTTGGCGCCTTTTAAAGGCCTCGCTGAACATGGAATTTTCATTTTATGGTAAATTGTGACAACTCCGAGTGCTAAGTTCTACGAAAGGCATGTCTTGCCACAATTTTAAATAGACCAACTTGTGTATACAGCTGCCACATATTATTGTTAAACTTCGCCATAACTCTACTCGGAAGCATATCAGCTATTAAGAGTGTTGAAAAGTCGCCCATAAAAAAGTGTTAAAAAGTCGCTCGTTAATAGCGATAACTGTTTTAACAAACATAGGCATATTTATGGATATTTATAGCATAAACTATGCCAGAGACTTATCTTAACTTTACAGCTGCTTTAAAACAAGCGTTAATATTATAAAATTCTCATTCGAGCACCATAAACAAAATATCATTTTTTTGAATCAACAAGAAAACTAAACTCTATCAATTATTATTTAAAGTAATCGCAATGTTTTAAATATATTACCCTCATTTGATTTAAATACTTATTATTATTGTTGTGCATGCCTACAATATTTGCACATACTCTTTGGTTAACATTTCTTTGTTCTTTAGACCAAAATTAGAATGCTTTCTTTCCATATTGCGTTGCCAAATTGTTGCTGTTTATATAAAAAAAATAAGCAAAAGAAAATTTCTGCTATGTCAGCATCTTGCGCTCTTTAAACTGCGTAAATAAATGATATTTAGAAAAAACTAACAGTAATTTCATAAAATATCTAATAAAACCTCAATTATTTTTAATTTTAACTTCTGAACAAACAATATCTAGACGCAATTAAAAAAAACAACTACTTATATAATATCGCTAATCTTTTTTAATTATGATGATTGTATATTGACAATTTTCTGCAGCAGAGAACAATAAAAGCCAACAGGCTGAATTAAATCTTCTTTCTTTTTTTTAATTCGCATATTCATGCATATTCCATAATAATTGCGTTATTTCAATTCAGCTGGGAATTTGCGTCCATTGTTCAGGTATGATCTTTCAGATTGGGACAATGCTTATCAACAGCAATGGGCCACATAATAAATTATTAAACAGTCTGGCAACTGCCCTCTACAACAGAGAACCAGATATAAAGCAAATACAATCGGTATGCCGAAGATCAAATACCCTTGCAGATTGACTAGACCAATTTGACTAGAAACATGCAGAAAGGGGCATGGCTATATCGACTCAACTTCTAATACTGAACAAAAATATAAATATATATATATTTATATATATATTATATATATTCATTCATATCATATATATTCATATATATATATATATATATATATATATATATATATGTATATGTATATCCCGCAGTCTCCCGTAACGCGGTATACATTTCGTCCGAAATTTATAATAGCCTCTGCAAGTGTATTCTAGGCAATATTCTCTTCAACTAATTGACCATCTCTCTCTCTCTCTCTCTATCTCCCTCTCGCGTATAGCCGGTGTGTGTGCGTGTGTTATAGCTCTCAGCATTTTTTTTGTTCGTTTTTGGCGCACCTGCCTGCGCACTCACACACAGGCACAAATAAAACACATGGCGGAAAGGTAACAAAAAATAAATGCAACCATAAGTCATTAGAATAGCACATTATACAGTTAATTGCATATTGTTTAATGAAGTCTAGCACAATGTACAAAAAATAATTAACTTAAACGACACATACTTGCGACAGCTCGATGATTAGTAGGCGGCAGTAAAATTACAAAATAAACTATTACACGGCGACGTTATAGATGAATATTTATGCAGTTGTTAATTTAACACACACACACACAGAAACACAATCTAACCGAACTAAATAAGAGTTTATTGCGCTTAGTAATGCATAGCCAAATGCACGAAATTGCTTTTGTTGGAACCAATTACAAGTTCGGTGACGTTGACCGTTCGCTGCTCGGCTCAACTTTTGGAACGATTTGCCAGCGTCAGAGCTTCAGCAGCGTCTGCCACACTTTGCAATTGTTAATTTTGCGCGAGCTGTATTCAATCAATCGCACGCGCAACATCCGCAACGCGTTCAATTGTTTGTTTTTATTATTTTTGGCGTCTTTTTTTTCTTTTCTTTTTCCTTTAATTTATGTTGAGCAATATTGTGATTGTGATTGTGGCTTGTGCTTTAACGCACCCAGCTGCTTTCTTTTTCATTCGCACTCACGGCCAGACTATTTACACCAAAAAACAGCTGTTCACACGTAGACCAAATTCAACTCAATTAGGGATATGTACTATCGATGTATCGATACATCGTCTTCTGTTATTTAGTCCAGGCGAACAGCTGTGCGACCGTCGTGCTCGTCGTCGTCGTTGGACGTTGAGTGACTGCTAGTGCAAGCCGTTGCCGCAATATATATAATATATGCATAGTATATTCATATTGAACGTAACTGCGCTCACGAGCCGCACTGATAGCGTCTGTGAGAGAGCGAGCCCGACATTTTTGATGGGGGATTTTCTGATAATGTCTTATGATTCGTTATGTTTGCTCTCGAAAGGACAAAGGCAACCTGCATTATCGAACCCGCTTAACGTTCCAGAAACAATTCCATTACAATAAAGACCGCTATCAGCGAACTCCTCCCAGCTATCTCAATTTGCATAGGTTCGCGCTTGTCTGCATGAGCACATCCAGCCATATTTATCTAGGTCTACAATCATTTTGACAGACAATTCGCATTGATAACTCGAACGTTTTTCGCTACACGCACACGTTATCATAATCCCCTATTAACATCTAGTCGGCAACAGCTCCCAATAATTTGTACAGACAATCTTTCGATATGGTTGATACGATCCATATAAAACACAGAATGAATTTAGTAAACCAAAATCCTGCTCCACTTAATTGATATATAATTGTATATTGTATATAATGTGTCAGAGATAAGGGATTGATATATGCATGTATGGGCGAGCAGATATGATGTAAAAGAACCCCCATAAAACATAGTCACATGTTTCTTTGTCAAGACATGATTCATTCACTTTACAACTGATTAATGCGAGAATGTGCCCACGCAAATGGAAAGTGTTTCAATATTTACTTGCACGCCATTCCACATGTTATTCGCAACCAAAGTTACAAATCCATATATGACGTACAGTCATGACCTCCATTATAATCTATACACGCTTATAATTTCAATGGATAATGTCACCTGGAATAATTATGTAATTATGAAAATTCCAATTTAAATAAAATTCACGATATTTTCAACATCTTGTCAAGCATAAGACTTATTTTATATAGTTACAAATAAACTTTATTATGCTTTTCTTTATCAAAAGAACAGACTTTTTGCTGTCCGAGTGTCTTTAACAATCTTAATGAAAACATTTATAGACTATATATAAGTGAGCACACTTTTGACACATTTAGTTAAAAACATTTCAGACAATTCAAAACACATACAATTACAATTTGCACAAATAATTTTTTAAAAACTTTTTGCTAAGTATAAAAAAGAGTATAAATAGTTTTGTTTTGGCATATTTTTTTAAAAATACGCACATAAAAATACAAAAGAATGTTAAATACAATTTTGTAAATCGATAATGAATGATATATATGATGTATATATAAAAGAAAATGGAATATATTGCGTGCGGGGCATGAGAGAGCGTTGTAAAATGTAACAGAAAGAAAGAAATTTACATAAAATAATTTCAACAACAACGTCTCTTCGTTGTAAATAGAAAACATTAATAAAGCATGAACGCTATATAATTATAAACGATGACTCAGTATTTTGATTTAAGATGATTTCGCTGTTTAAGTAGTTATTGTATAATTTGATTTTGTTCTTGAAAATAATTTCAAATGAAAGCCTTCGCCTGCGCTAGCATTGCCAGCGATTAGGAGCTTTGATTGATAACTTGCACATAGTTGGCTGGAAAGAGGCCATAACGATTCTTGCACAGGCCACGCCACCAGCCGTCATCGATTTTCTCAATGTGTGTAACGACATCATCGGGATCAAAGGATATTTCATCATCATCAGCTGCCTGGTAGTCGTATAATGCAATTGCATGTGTTCCGGTGTCCTCTAGATAGTCCGCCAAATTGTCTGAATTGGCATAGATGGCCTCTTCGGACGCACCCGCTGAGCCATTTGCTGCTGGTGTGGGTGATGCAGCAGCTGGCATTGGAGACGCCGACTTGATCTCCGCCTGGTTTTGATAGAGCGGCTCCGGCTCCGGCTGTGGCTGCGGTTCTGGTTGTGACTGTACCTGCACCTGCGCCTGCGGTTGAGGCTGCGGCTCTGGTGTGGTCGTCTGCTCAACGGCTGACACATGAGCTGGCGATTGAGGCTCGCTTGACGGTGGCGTTGCCACAGTCTCAATCTCTATTTGGGGCACCACATCCGGCGGTGGTGCACTGACTTTCGGCTCTGCTGCCACAATCTCTTTGGCCACAGCGGCTGTCGGTGCGGCGGGCTGTTCAACTACAGCCGGCCTAGCTGCTTCGACGGGCGCTGGCTCCTTGGGTATGACAATGGGTTCCTTGCGTGCTGGTGGCGTCTCTGTAACCGGCGATTGCATTTGATTAAATGCACTAATGGCATTGCCTATGCCACCGGAACGTCCAGTTTGTATGGCTGTTCGGCTGCCCTTCACGGGCGGCGTTCGCGCCTCTTCGGCAGATGGTAGCGGCGTGTTCTCCACAATCGTTTGCTTGGCGGCTTCCTCGCGATCGCGTTTGTCTTTAGCTTCACGCAGACGCTTCTGTTCTTCGGCACGCTTGCGAGTCTCCTCCTCGGAGTTTTTGGCCAAATTCTCGAATTTGGCACGCAAATTTGACGGCTTGGCGCCCTCAATGATGGGCTTGACTTTGTGATCCACCTGACTGGCGTGCTTTTGCGGCGCCTCAATGTGATCCCAGCCAACGGCTGACTTATCCTTGCGATCCTCCTGCACGCCAAACTTGCCGCCAAAGCCTTTAGAGTAATCTGCAAGAAACAAGGTTTAGTTAACTATTAAGGCAATTGCTATTAGAGGCTAATCTCACCCTTCTGCGACTCGTGTTTCTCCACCTTTTCGATGTGATCCCAGCCTAATGCTGACTTATCCTTGCGATCTTCCTGTACGCCAAATTTACCACCAAAGCCCTTAGAGTAGTCTACAAAGGGGTTATTTATAAATGAAATAATTGCCTCAAGAGGTTTTTGCTACGACTTACCCTTTTGGGATTCGTGCTTTTCCACCTTTTCGATATGATCCCAGCCCAAGGCCGATTTATCCACGCGATTCGTTTGCACGCCGTATTTGCCGCCAAAGCCTTCGCTGTAATCAACTTGCGAGGCGTGCTTGTCCACTTTGCCCTGGTAATCATGGCCCACCGCCGATTTGTCCATGCGATCCTTTTCAACGCCAAATTTTCCACCATAGCCGTAGCCGGCATTTTGATCCTTTAACAATTGTTTTTTCATGTTCAAATCCGATTTTTCCGTCTCTTCGCGCAGCTTGTCCATGCTGATGTAGTTTGTTATTAAATATTTATAACGGTACGTTGACCTTAAAAGTGACTCACTCAATGGCTCCACCTCCATCGCGTCCGCTGCCATCAATTGTCTTGGAGCCCCAGCGCTGCTCTTGTTCGCTGACATCGTTAACGAAGTCGGGATCTGTTTCCCAATCATCGTCCTCGGCTGCGCTTGTTGCTTGTATCTGATGGCCGGCGGTTGCTTTCCACATACTGGCTAATTCTTATCTGCATTCAACGTTGGCACCAAAGATAAAAAACAATGACAGGTTTTTTTTCCAAAGAAAAATGTTGATAGTGCAGGGAGGGGCTGGTTCCGTCGAACTTTGAAATGGCACCCTTTGTGCATGTACTTACGGAGGTTAACTATTTCTCAAGTAAGCAGGATTTTGCAAAGATGAGAGCTAATTTTGTAACACTTAAATTTGAATTCTTAAGCTTTAAACAATCAATTTAAATGCTATGCAGCTCCACAGCACACAAGTTATTTTTAATGAACCGGTCGAATAATCGAACTTGTGGAATCAATTTACTTTCGTTCTTGTGAACTGCATCATGCGTTGTAGTTCCAGTGCTGTACAACGCTTGAATGCAAAGTGCGCGGTAACAGTTAATGCCTCCACGCATTTGAAATTTCTTTTAATTGTCAAACATTACTATAGCTAGGTATAATAACACATATTTTATCTTTCGCAGATAAGACCTTTATCAGCATCAGTCAGCTTCCAGTCCAATGATTCATACACTGCTATTTTACGAAGAAATGTGTGTGTGTAACATGAGTGCGCAAGTTGAGATCAAAAATAACAAAAGCGTCCGAACTTTGTAAGCCATACACATACACATACATGTATGTAAGATTGAGAGAGCTTTTCACAACGCAGTCATTACAATATCATGACGTAATTATATGACAACAAAGCTCTCTGCTCTCAAACGGTTGGTCTTACAGCCGCCGGCTAGGACAGGGCTGCAGTGATGTAGCTCCGAAAATGAATATTCTTTTTACTGATGAAGAATTGAGATTGTTTGTTTTTAATTTCAAATTATTCAAAAGAATTTATATTTTTTATTTTTGCATATTTAAGAATCAATCTTTTTACTTTTCCATAAATTAAGCAAAACTGCTGAACAAGAATATAAATGCATATATGTATATAATCCAAGCTCATGAGCTTGCCAAACATAAGGTAATAGTTCCGCTCTTTGAATATTGCCTGAGGCCCTGCCAACGCCTCCACACCAATAACACCCATTAAGCTCTCTCTGTTACTCTCGGATCCGATACGCCGGTTTTTGGAGCGCATATAAAACCCCATGACGAGCGCACAGCGGTTTCAGTATTTATTTCACATCGCTAAGAGTTCGCAACGCTTGACGTCCCTAAACTTTGTACGTATTGTGTGAGAATATCACTAGGTAAATTTTTAGAATTCCTCTCTAGTTACTTTGTTTATTTTTGCTGTGTCTTTTGCATGTATGCATCTACACTCACACATATGCATATACAAATGCGACACTCTCATGTCTGCTCAGATTAAAGTCAACAAGAAATTCAAGTGAAAAGTCAAAAGCAATCAAGAGTGCAAATAAAGTGAATAAATAGGTTTGTTTTTGGCATTATACAAATTTTTGGGCGCGGCAGAAAAAGAACAGTTTTTATACGTGGCGCATATTAATCAATTGTTTTCTTTATTATAATACATATACATACATGTATACGCCTATACTATATTTGTATGTAATTTGGCACATTGTCTGATTTGGATAAAAGAAAAAGTGCGCTGGCAAGATGACATCATCAAAATGTTAAAATGAAGCTGCACAAAACTTTTAGC